ACAGATAGGTACCTGTATTACATCTATTTAATTAGGAAGTAAATCATTTAAATTAAATTTATTTATCAGTGGAGCCTATTGTACCTGAATATCGAATTGTTGCTCAATTCATTACCAGCCGATACGCGATTCCTCGAACTCGTTCGACTATTTTCTTCCTCCTCGCACCGCCATTCTCTCTTCTTTTTCTTTCCCACAAAATCTATTTTTAATTAAGCTATTTTAAGTTAAATTAAATATTTCTTTCATTACTTGGCTGGGTAACGGCAATTAATAATGCCGCGTCACGCCCATTCACCATCTCCTTCGTTACTTTTCCATAGGCGCCATAGTTTATTGTATGTATAAACGACTCTGTTCTATATATAGTGTAACAAAGTCAATACGTAATAACGTTTCACATGACGCGCGTATTGCATTTAAATGCGACGAAAGAATTCGTATTGTTTTTTTTACCGGAAGCACGATGCTACGAACGAACTTTCCAGATCGTAACGCGCATATTTCAGATAACGGACACTGTTCACTGTTCGTCAATGAGCAAACCGTACGAGACACCGCGAAACATTGCGACTCGATGGAACAAAAATTCGGGAACCGGGGTAAATGGGAATGTCGCGGATGATCGGTGGCACGAACAGAAGAAAGACAAGGAGTCACGGAACGGGAGCTTGGCGCCGTTACGATACAATGCCGACCCCGAGATGACTTGCATTCATATCAAGCTGCACGGCGAGGAATCGGCGATCCTAGCCACAGGCGTTTTCGTTCGACTTCCTTCTTGCTTCCCCGCCCCTCTTGCCAGCCATCCTATGAATTCACGTTATCGGCGAGCAACGATTTCATCGTCTGCGGCGTTTATTATTAGATCCCGGCCACCACCGACACCGAGTTCGTGGCCTCGCGAGAGTTTTTCCACGAAAAGATGGGACCGACCGCGATGCTTTCCTCGAGGAAGAATTCAGCGTATAATTCTTGAAAATGTTCAACGGGCAAGAACGAAAGGACCGAGGACTATCTGCTGGAGAGAAAAGTTGAATTAAGAGGCAAAGGAAATTGTCGGGAAAACGAACGACAGAGACAACAGGCCGGAGATGATGGCAAAATGGAAAGAGAGGCAGAAGGCTCGGTTAATCCTTCTTGTTTGTCTTTACGTTAATTATCTAGAATTAAGGAGGCTGCTTGTCGCGGCGCACCGGCCGGATTACTGGCTCGATTATTACTTATTGCAGATTATTAATTACCGAGAATTACCGACTTGACTGGGGTTCAACTTCAACGAAGGGGAGCGAAAGAGCGTTCGAAAGAAAGCACGACAGCGGACTTACAGCGAAGGCGGAATCGATTTCTCGTCGAAGAAGGAACTGCAGCGTGTTTTCAGTGCGTTGAGAAACGCTGGAAGCAGGAGAATCGCGCGCCCTCATTAACGGGAAACGCGTACACCAGCATGAAATTCTGGTCGACAACAATGAAACGATGCGTGTGATAAAAAAAAGGAAAAAAAAAAAAAAAAAATGTGAGCTGTAACCAACGTTGCGATGTGCAACGGGGAAACATCGGACCGAGAATGATGATAGAAAAAGACCGTGATGAGGTTGGTTACAGCGCCCGTGTTGCAACAAAATGCGCGCGTATCTGTGTCAAAAGCAACCCCCGCCGGACAATAATAGAAGCTCTTAAAAACGTAAAGCTGCCTAGCGGGCCAGGGTTGAGCGCGCGTGGGTTATGAAACTGTGTAGAAGGAAAAAGGAGGAAAAAAAAAAATGCGGAGCGGCCGAGCCAGCTGCCGTATTCGATACAATCGCCAGGCGGATAAGTTCTCTGCGGCAGATAAATGGAAGCATCGGGGCTGGATCGTCGCGAACAACCACGGGAACTTGGTACTCGAGCCGGGGAAATAATTGCTCACTGGGAAAACACGATTTCACGAAACGATGTTTCTCCGCTTCTCCTTGTTGTTCGCCTTGTTGGTCTTTGGCTCCTGCCAGTCTCTTCCTCCTTTCCTTTCCGCTTCGATTTGGAAATCGTACTACTTTCCATACGCGTGCGCGCGCGCTTAACTCGAAAGCGCGTACCCATTTAATCGCGTAGCTCGAGACGCGATTGTGCATAAGCACACGGCAACAACGAGAGAGGAGCTGGGAGGAACGAGCCAAGGAAATAAATATTAATAACGATGCTTCCTCCTCCTTTCCCCCCTTGTGCACGCTGCAACCCTCCTCCTGGTCTTTTCTCTCTCTCTCTCTCTCTCTCTCTCTCTCTCTCTCTCTCTCTCTCTCTCTTTCTCTGTCTCTCTTCTTCGCGAGCGTATTCTTTCCATCTCTCCTCCTCCCGCCCTCCCACTCGCGCCTTTCTTCCCCCGATGCAACTAGACTCTCCTTCCCTGCCATCCCAACCCTCCATCTCTCCCCTTCCTCTGCCACCCTCCTCCGTTTCTCTTTACTCGTTCTCTCTTTCTCTCTCCGTTAGTCTCCGAGTGCGCGTCTGTACATTGTTAGGGCCATTACGGGAGCCAATTAATCTATGCACAATTTTATAATTAAACGGCTAATAGCGCATAGAATTATAGTCCAGGGCCGCGCGCACTCCCACGTATCCTGCCGCGTTCGTGAGTTACGCGTACGGCGGCGAGAAAGACATTTAAGGGAAGGAAGAAGGAAAGGAAGGAGGACAGAAACGAGGAAATCTCGTTCATGCGCGCCATTCTGCGGCTCGTTCGTTCGCTTTCTCGCTCGCGCGCTTGCACGTTCTTCTTTCGTCTTCTGTCGTGTCTCGATGAAACGCAATTCGGGACACGCGGACGTTTCGCGGACGATCCGCGCTGCTCGGTAAGAATTCAGCAAATTGACGAAGATAATTGGCGAACGTCTCGTTAGCGAACGCAAGTATATGGCATCAATTAGCCGTATCGGAGGAGAAAGGAGCATGAAACCAGCCTCGCCGATCCGGTGACGATTCTTGCGTAGGCAATAGTCCACGATTGTGCATTTTCGAGCCTTAGTCCGAGGGTTGATGAACACGGGGTCGAGTCCGGGGGAGAACACGGTGGCTGGACACGAGGAAGCGGGCGTTGCAACGCAGCCGGTGCCACGCTATAAACCGCAAGAAAAATCCCCCTGAATTATCGGTGCGGTTCTCGGTGCATGCTGTTGCATCGATGGCGATAGAAGCGCGCTGGCCACGGCCGGAGGACCGTGTAACTGTGCGCGCGGACCCAACGGTCCATCGATGGAACATCGGTGTGTAGCCGTTGCCGCTGTTACCACTGCCGTGCATTATCAGAATGTAACGACGTCACCGGTACACGCGACCAACCATCCCGGACCGCACACGCGAGAGAACCATACCGTGGTCTCTTAATCATCCGATTTTTCCTGGCGATCCTCCCTCACAGCTTCTCTCGCCCCCCCCCCCCAATTCACCCTCGATCCACCCTCTGTCCCCTCTCGTTTTTTCCAATCGATTTTCGAACAGCACCGCTCTTCTCTCGTATTCGCCGAGAGAACGAACCGCGTCAATTCCCATACATCGTAGACCAATTACGTACCTGATGATTTTATGACGTTCTTGATCGAAAAGTAAAAAAATGTGGAAACGTTACGAGATGGAACGAGCCACTAGAGCCATCTACTAGATGAGACAACTTACGAAACGAAAGATCGGTTCTGTCGAGAATTGCAGTTCGATCGAGAATTGCGGATCTCTGAAAGAGGGGAAAGATTCGCGCGAAGAAGGGCTCGCGCACGAGCCGACGGCTCGGCCAACTCTGTTCTGTGACTACGACTCGGATTATTTGGATCCCTATCCCTATAGTTCTCTCTCTTTCTCTCTCCTGTTTTCTCTTTCTCCCTCTGTCCCTCTATTTCCCATCTTCGTTCCCTCCGCTCGCTATCCCTCGGCTCTCTTTCTCCTTCGCCCTCTCTGTGTCGCGCTGAATCCGTTTCCGTTGTGACTGCCACTGCGCGTTAGTCGCCGCGATACTATTGTCCACCGACGTTACCGTTTCGCGATCGTGTCCGCCGCGTCTTACGCTTGATCCCTTCCGGGTAACTCCTGACTTCAAAGCGCGACAATTTGACAAAGTGAGAAAGCAAAGGCGAGCCGAGTTGAACGAGGAAAAATATGTACTGGGATGCAGGACATCTAGGAAGACTCTAAAGTCGAGGGACAATAATTTCGCCGATAACACCGGATCCCCTCGTTCCGTTTACCATTCCGTTTCGTCTGCCGTCTGACTCGTGGGTGGGGTAAGCTTGTACTACAGCCACTTCTCTCTGTCTCGTCGGTGGGGACGATTCATTCAGAGAAACTGCCGTGAAAGGGACACCTGTTGGCACGGAGGCCCGTTGACAATTCCAGATACAAGGGCACGTGCCTTTACCACAGCTTCCTTTCCCGTAAATAGCGTCGGCGAGGATTGAGAATAAATCGAAACGAATCGTCGGAATCGATGGTAAAAAAAAAAAAAAAAAAAAAATACTACTGGCAAAAGATAAAAGGAAGTTAAAGGAAGAGAAAAAAATGGAGAAAATTTCTAGACAACGAATGAAAAACGATTGGGCTATGAACGACGAGAGAAGAATCGTTCGTAAACTTTTTTAGTTGGGAAAAGAAAACGGAGCACGTGTCGAGATGATGGTAACGCGCGATTAAAATATTTTTGGTCGACCGGTAGCTCGGTAAGGAACGTAGCTGGCCGAAGATAAAGTGCTGCCCAGAGGCGACACCGGGCGTTATTAATACACGCGAGGATCGTAGCTTCCGTTCTCGGCAATAGAAGCTACAAAAAGCGCACAAACAACGGTAGGTGGTGGTAGGTCCGTACGATCGTTGCGTCGTAGTGAGATCGGGAGACCGAGGGCAATATCGTACGGAATGATGGTACACCAGGTTTAGAAAGGTTCGAACGTGCGATCGATGGGTCGTTTTTTCGTTGCCCGTTTTCAGTCAAGGAAGATAGCTGCTGCTACTGGAAATAGCAACGATCTATTTCCGCTTACCTGGCCGTGGTGCAGTCCCTGTAGAGTATATCGAAGTCCTTGCAGCTGAGCAGCTTGCATCGATTGACGCCCGGCTGGATGGCTCCGAGTCCACGGAGAATCCTAACTTGTTCGACATTGCACACCAACGGCACTATATCGAGCCTCTTGAGCTTCGTGTAGACGGTGTGCAGGCCACCGACAAGGTGTTTGAGAAAGAGCTCGAACGCCTGCGGCAGACAGAGCATCGTGTCCCCGGCGATGATGAACGCGGCCACCTTCTGACCGCGGTAATCGACCAGTTTGCACTCGTTCGCTGTGGGATCGCTGGTACTGATCGGCGGCGGACTGTTGTACGATCTCGGAGGTAGAACAGCGTGATGGGCGGCCATCAACTCGAGCGGCGAGCCATGATGACCGCTGAGCATGCCACCGAGTTGTCCCAACAAGCCGAGACCCGGTGGCGGTAGGCCTGGCATACGGGGTACCATGCCTGGCGGTGCACCGGGCGCTCCTCCGGCGGAAAGAGGCGGCGGACTCAACGGAAGTCCCTGAGGTGGCGAGCCTCTCGTTGGCGATCCCGGCGTGGGAACGCCGCGGTGCTGTTGCTGTTGCGATTGTTGCTCGCGGATCTGGTCTCGCGGATGAGGCTGTTGATGCGATGGCGGCGGTTGATGCTGCGACCCGTGAAGCTGTTGTTGACCTTGCTGAGCCGACGGGCTGTGTGGATGTTTCGGACTGCCGGTTACGGGACTAGCGCGGCTGCTGTGGTCGGAAGAGCTATCCATCGCTCCGTGATCCATCGACGTACCGCAGGACACGCGTCTTTCTCTTATCGACCACGTTCCTTATAGAATTTGTTCTATTACCTTTTCACTAAGAACTCCTCCTCCTCCTCCTCTTCCTCCTCGGCCGTTTCTCTCTCTCTCTCTCTCTCTCTCTCTCTCTCTCTCTTACTTTCACTCTCGCTCTCTCCCGGACGTGGTTCTCGCCACGTGGACACCACGAGATACGAGAAACTCGGAGTACCAGCACGAGTCAACGCATACTAGACCGATCTCTCCTTCTTTTCGCAGCGATTCCAACTCGTTCGGCTGACGAAAGACCAGCCGACGAGGAAGCTCTCGTCGATCCAGGATTGACCACAGGAATCTCGGCTCTTCGCAAGCGTCACTGTCACTCGGGTAAACTGCCGCGTCTCACGGAGTACGTTGGACCGTGTACGCTGGTAACAACTTCACTGTGCACAACCACTCGAATAACAGTGTCCATGACAATTGACCGCTGTCACTCGATACGAGCCTCGACCTCGGCTGCGTTCTCGTTACGGACAGGTCCGTGTTTCGCGTAATGCTGGTCGGCTTCGTTCGAGGAGCAGCCGAGCTGCCCCTCGTTCAACGATTCACCAACCACGAGTTTTGCTGCGCGACGCGTAGTTGCTTTTCTCTTCACTGATGGAACTGTTTCACACGATTGAATAGACGACTAGACGATGTGCGATGTCGCGCGTGGCTGTTCGTTGCTTTTGAGACCACGCGTGTGAACACCAAATCCTGTCGTCGACGAGACAGGAACGATCGGTAGGACGGGACTGACGCGTCGACGAGTGACGCGCGGCGCGCACGACCACGACGTACACCGCGGACGCAACGACGAGGATGAAGATGGTGTCGCGAGTGATAGCAATCGCGACAACAGCAACGATGACAACCACGAACACAACAACAACGACGACGACGACGACGACGACAACGACAACGGTGGCAACGGCGACGGCAACAGCGACGACGACGACGACGACGACGACGACGGCGGCAGCAGCGGCGGCGGCGGCGGCGGCGGCGGCGACGGCGGCGACGGCGGCGACGGCGACGACGACGACGACGACGACGAAAGCGGCTGCGGCTGCGGCGGTAACTCGCAGGGACGCGCGTCGCTCGTTCTCAAAGTGGCAAACGCTCTCTCGGTCGAGTCGGGAGTATTTCCCTACCCAGTCACAGATGTAATAAATAAAAACATCAGTGGGAGCTCGAGGAACGGGGAGGATGGGCGTTCTGTGCGCGCAACCGACTATCCGGTTGGCGGAGCCACCGGGGTGGCAGTTCTCCCTATTGGACGGTAACCTCGTACCGTCGACGCCTTTCGAACCTTCCCTCGGCTGGTGGCGGGACGAGCGAGTATTCCCCACTACGAAACAACCTCTGCCACCGACGACGCGCACCGACGATGCCGACCGGGACGATTCCGGGGGCGACTAACACACGGAGACATCCAGACGCAGACGCGAGTCTCGACAAGACAGTACGATTCGAACCTACCGCCGATCTACGCGCTACGAGTGGGGATTTCTTCTTTTTCCTCGCGACCTCTCCCTCCATACCACCCTTTGCTCTCTCGGCTCGCCTTTCCTCACCGCCCCTCGTAGCTCGCGTTACTCTTTCCCTCGCCTCACCTAAACCTAACCTCCCCCTAGCGCCGACCCACCCCACCGCGTTCCTTGTCGCGTTTCGGCTCTTCTCTTCTCCTCTTTCTTCTTTCTCCTTTCTCTTTTTTCCTTTTTCCTTTCTCCTTTCCGCCTTTTATGCCTTCTTCCGCACAATAACCCCTCGCCTACTACTCTTTCTTTTCCGTTCACCACTCCTCTGTTTGATTCCTCTTCCCTTTACCAATCTCTTCGTTCTTCTCCTTGCACTTTTCGCTTGTTTACTGCGTTTCTCACTCGCTCTTCCTTTCCTTCGCCCTATTCCCTGCATCCGAACTTTTCTATTCGCCACTTTTCTTTATTTTCCTCTCTTTTTCACCTGTCTACCACTCCCCCCCCCCCCACCCACCCTCTCTGCTACTCCTTTATTCCCTCTCGCTCGCTCTCCCGTTTTCTCTCTTCGCACGCACTCGCACCTTCCCTATCTCGAACAAATGCTCCTACTCTCTCTCTGCCTGCCTCTTCGTAGCTCCCTCCCATTTCTTCTTCCACCTTCTCCTCCCACCTTGGCCTATGGCTTATACGCTCTCTCGAACTCGCGCTCTCTCGCGCGACTAGCAGCAGTCTCCACCTCGTTTCCTCTTTCGCACCCGTCCTATTCTCTGTGACTTTCTCTCTCTCTCTCTTTCTCTCTCTCTCTCTCTCTCTCGCTCTCGCTCTGTTCTATCATACCTAACCATCTCTGTCAGTTTCTCCCTGTTCCTCGGTTCTCTGTCCGTACGACGAAGAATGTCGCCGGCGTTCGAATCGATCGGTCGGTCTCCGTGCGCGCGGGGGGTCCCCCTTCCGTTACTTGCATCCTCTCCTGCCCCGCAGAAAGAGCCTATCCTCCCTGCCACCTTCTTCTTCGCCGTTCCCTCGGATCTCCTCTACCATATTCGCCATCAGCATTACACGAGCGCACTTATTTCTTCTGTAGGTAACTCTGCTTCCTCGCGATCTCTCTCTGCTCCTCGACTACCCTCTTTCGCCCTTGCTTACCCTTCCTTTGCCCGCGTGTCCCCTCTCACAGCCAAGCCTCGCTACCACCTTTTCTCCGCTCCTCCTCCCGCGGCATACGCGATATACCATATACCCGACACTCTCCGCAGCTCTCGGTAAGCTCCGAGTATGAGTGCTTAATATCTTTGTACCATACCCAAACTGTACGTATCCGCCGATGCTTCTTACGTCCGAACTTTCCCTGCAGGCTCTCCGTCTGCAATATCTCCCTCTTCTTCTGTCGCTACTCGTCGTACTCGCTACTCGTAACGTTTTCATCTCGCTGTCCGCGATCAAGAAAACTGCCGTTCGAAGAAACAGAGGAAATCGTTCGACTGGATAGTGGATGTTGATCGGAAGCCAAAATAAAAAATTAAGATGGGAGGAGAGACCGACTGTACTCGATTGACTCGTTACAGGCGGAGAGTTCAAAGGCTGTCGAGATGAGTGAGAAAGGAGCAAGAGGGAAAAACCATCGTTTAGCCTTTTTCTAGCGGTCAACCCCCGATCTGTTCTCATCAGCCCGGTGACCCAGATCCACGAGGAAAGACCCTCTGCGTTTGTTACCAGTATATACACGTATATATGTAACAGGCTTCGCACACGTATTCCTCTACCACAGCTGATCCCTTGACCTCGTGCAACCCCAAACGAAACGAGACCCCCTGGGCCTAACGTCCATTGACCATCGCGAGTCGTTCGAGAGGGGTTCGATCATCTTATCATTTCATTTTTTTCACCAAGAGCCCCTTTCGATATTTTTCTCACATTTCAACAAGTAGATTTGTTCTCTTGGTGGAGCTGGTAACACGATCCGTTATTATGGTCCTCGTATCGTTGGTTTTACTTGAAAAAGAAAAAAAAAAAAAATTACGTGACTCGTCAAGAAAGAAAATAACATTCTCGAGGCAAGGTATTCGTTTTTGTCAACGATAAAGTCATTGTTTGAGGCGAAAAGGCGATCGATCGCGAGATCCAGGTCCCTCGTCCGAGGAAGGTCGAGGATCGGTAGGGGACCGATGTTTGCCACGAACCAAACCACGTCCAATTAGTGGAATTAATACCGGTTGGCTTTGGGGGAGCTAATGCCTCTGTGTGCATACCTACGGGTATGCACGTCGATGACTGCACTTTCCTTCGTGCGTAATGAAGGACAATCCCGGTTGGACCGAGCAGCTCGATGCATTCGCTCGTCCAAGCAACCGCTGCCTCCTCTTGTTTTGCGGTCACGAGAAAATATCTCGAACCCACGAGATTACGACTTTGAACACCAACTAACGGTACTCTCGTGTCTTTCTGCTCAGCCTCAGGACAACAATTTCGTTGGCGACGTTGTTACGTTGCCAAAAGAAACAACGAGACAAAAACACTATTCACCGACCCAAAGTAACCATTTCGACTTTGTACGTCCGGCTAGTTCCCCTTGGAAACTGTATAAAAAATTCAGACTTGTATGAAATTTCGTAGGCAACGAAATCTGTCTGGACAGCCGATCGACGACAGACAGATTTTCAGGCAACTCGGCCGAGTATGATACGCATTGTTTGAGCGTTCACGGGAGTGCGGTTCGCTAGCGGCGTTCCTGTTACTGCTCATTGGCCACCCTGCACGGGAGAATTGCGTGAAGCGCAAGCAGAGAACGGCTGCCTCTCTCGTGCATAGCTGTTACGTAACCCTCGTCATTGTTTGCGCGTCGTCGTCACAGAACTGTAACAGAGCGTACGGCAAAAAGGAGGGTAACGTGTAACGTTGGATAAGAGAGGGAAAAAAGCGCGAATTTTTGTCGAAAGAGTATGCATAGAAGGAAGGTATTCCACACCAACCAACCGGACACGCGTCAGAAGGACTTCACTGCACCGGAAGCGTCGCTCTTCTCCGTTTCTTTGTCCGACGTTACGTTTACCATGCCTGCGACACGGATTTTTGTCCAGGTTTTTTGCCTCCGTTATCCTATCGCCAGTAGCTAGTTGCATTAGCCTGTGTAGCAAAAGTACCGAAAGAAAAAGAAAAAAAAAAAAAGAGGAAAAAGAAAGAAAGGAAGAAAAAAATAGAAAGAAGAGAATAAAATGGGAGAAGTTAATAGAGTAGAGCGTTTATCGTCAACCGGTTGGTATTACCGATTGTCTCGTTTGCAATCCCCGTCTTGTCTATCACCTCGATTCTCTCTGCTCTCGACCTGTTTCCGACTCGATGCTCGCGATCGTCTTTCCATCTTCAAATTTACCAAGACGTCTTCCATCCCTGTCGATTCGTCGTCAGCCGTGTCAGAGGCAAAAGAAAACATCGATCGAATTAACGTAATTACTTGTTCGTGCGAGATACGTGCGCGTCGTGGCAAAACAGGCGTCAATGTCGATCGAGAGTCACGAAAGAGCAGGATTTTACAAAACGTTAATTGCGCGCGGTTTATATACAGCGCGGTACAGTGTAGAGGTCGGCGTGAGAGAAAAATCAAGAGCTAAAATAATGGATTTTGAGGCGGGATGAAAAACGACGGTAATTTTTCTGGACACGTACGCCACCGTTCGGTTTTTCAGCGCGGCTTACGCGCAACTAATTACCCATATGCCACGTGTTATTATAAATAGCCAATCGTTACCGACACAGCCGCATCCGCGATTCGCCCATAATGGCGTGTTATCGGATAAATAAAACGGATAGCCACGGGAGGGTGCGCTCCGATTATGCATCGACGCCTCCCGTGAGCGTATGTACCTACTCTCTGACCACCCGTACTGTTTTCCCAACCAACGACCAGCTTTTATTTCTCGTCGACTTTAATCCGTACACTGACGACAACGCCGATCACTTTTATTCGTTACGACGCTCTCGATTCCACTCCCTTTGAATCTGCTCGACGAAACGAGCACGTGCTCTACAGGGGAGAGAACTACTAAGAAAAGCAACAAAAAAAAAAAGAAAAAATCCGATAATACTTTCCCTCTGGAATTGGAATTTCGAATTTACGTTTTACAATTTGAACGTTGTAAACGTTCGATTCGAATTCTCATCCCGGGGAGTTCGACGGCTGTCGCATATAATGAAAACTTAGATCAATGCCTAGAATCAACCAAAATACCCAATATCTTCGCGTGAATAGGATAACACGTTGGTCCGCGCCATGGTATTCAAACTAAACGCATTAGGAAGCTCATTTAAATACGACACAATGCCGAGCACAAGCAGCCCGCGGTCGCGCGATATCATTCGTCGGTTGAAATAATGCTGTCCAAAAATGGCGATCGAACATTATCAAAATTCGTTGGGTTCTTCCATTGACGATGCAAACTGATTAGC